TTTCTCTCTAAAGAAACAAGGTTTTTTAATTTTCCATTGACTGGGCTTTTACTCCCATCTTACAGAGTTCAGGAGATGAAAAGCAGCTCCTGTATGACTTCCCCTGGACCAATGTGGGAAAGCTGGTGTTCGTGGTAAGTGATTAACATAAACGCAGGATGGGGGTCTAGATGGGAGACACAATTTCTGAAGTGTACATTTTATTTACATGTGTGTTCCTGTGAGATGTTCACTGTGTCAAACAAAGATCACATTATGCGGGAGCAAACCTAGTCCAGGCAGCAAGTATGGCAGGATTATCCCTTCTAAGAACTTAATGAAGAGCTAATTGTTCCAGGCTTCAGGAGTGAACGTGGAATTAGCGGCCTCTGGCCACACTATGAACATTAAAGTTGTTTTGGAGGCGTTGGTGGGTTCCTGCCCCGGGAGGCGTTGGTGGGTTCCTGCCCCGGGAGGCGTTGGTGGGTTCCTGCCCCGGGAGGCGTTGGTGGGTTCCTGCCCCGGGAGGCGTTGGTGGGTTCCTGCCCCGGGAGGCGTTGGTGGGTTCCTGCCCCGGGAGGCGTTGGGGGGGTTCCTGCCCCCGGGAGGCGTTGGGGGGGTTCCTGCCCCCGGAAGGCGTTGGTGGGTTCCTGCCCCAGGATTCCCAAAACACAGTGTTAATGTAGCGTTGGACCTTCATTCAGAAGGTAAGCTGCTCCCCATTCGGTGAGAGCACTTCTGGTGGATTGCATTATAAGCACAAAGGGGAAGAAAGACTATATTGTTACACTGTTGTCACTTTGTTCACATTGTGCATTTTGAATTTGGATTGAATTGATGTACAGTGTACAGTGCTATGTACTGTATACTGTACAGTGTGTGCAACATAGATGTTTGTTGATGGTTCATGTTTATTTGGTATACACTTTATGACACAGTAGGTATAGCTCGGCACAGAGATATTTTGTTTATATTTGGAGAACGAGTTTTGTTAATTTTGATGCTTGCAGCTTACTAGTTTTAGGTACCAGCACAGTAAAGCCTTCTTAAGACACAAGATATCCACGTGTTTTATTCCATCACCTCTTTATCTTCAACTTATTTTCCGCAGGGCAAAAAGTTTGAGATCTTACCGGACGGCTTACCCTCAGCCAGAAAATTGGCGTACTATACCGGCTGCTCCATGCGCTCGCGGCATCTCCTTCAGCTGCTGAGTAACAGTCACCAACTCTACATGAAACTACAGCCAGTACTGCGGCAAGTTCGACTGCTGGAGGAAAATGAAGGTGGGTAACGTTTGACTGCTCAAGGGAAGTCTTGTCCGCCAATGGTACAAAGGTTTCGGTGGAAAGGTCTTTTTGCGATTTGGAACCGGGTTTCTCAACCAAAGTTCTGTGAGAGGTCCCTAGGGGTTTCCACACTAGCCACCATTCCACATATCTGCCCAACTGTGGCTTCAACATCCCTGCTGGCTACCTCTGATTAGAACACGAAGTACCATTGGGCAGATTGATATCAGCCTGGTGGTAAGCTCGGACTTGCAGGGCCAGCTTCACCATTCTGGGCCAGCAGCGTGAGACAAGAGGAGCAGCTCATCTCATCCTTGGTAAGTACAACTGAGGCGTGATCTTGTGTCCCATCCCTGATTTTCAATTAAATGCACAATGTGTAATTACAATGTCACAGATTCACACACTAATTAAAAATATGTTGAAGTATTTTAATGAATACTCCCAGATAGCTCTGATGTAATTGCCAATTCCCTTCAGGGCCAGATTTCCCACAAGAACACCGAGGCCTGGCAGGGAGTAGAGGCACGGGACAGCCGCTGAGTGGGTAGTTTTTTCTTTTCTACATTTAGCCAAGCTTTGGGAAGGCAGGGCTAAATGTAGAGCTTGTTAGCTCCTGTGTGATTAGCAATTAAGTGAAAAAAAAACATAAAAAGAAAAATTGATAAAGTAAAAAATTAAATAAAATTTTTTAAAAATGTAAAAAATAATAAATACAAATTTAAATATAGTGATAAAACCATTAAAAAAATTAGAAACATTTTTAAAAAGTTTTTAAAAAAAGTACATTTAAAAAAAAAAAATTTGAAAACAAACCTGCTGCCCCCGCTATCTGGTTGCAATTCTACATTGGGAGGAGGGTGCATTGAGGAACCTGGCCTTGGGGCAGCAGGGAGAGTAAATCCGGCCCTGACTCCCTTCTCCATGGAATGAAATAAATAAAAAAATCCAGCAGGGAAAGTGGGAACCCCTCATGAGATGTGCAGAGCTCAGGGCAAAGATCTCACCAAAAGAGTCCCCAAGAGATCAGAAAACATGGTGGGTGGTTAAAATCATCAACCTCTTGAAATTAATTTTAGTTATGGGTGACGTGACCCTTTAAAGTCATAGCGTCTGCTCAGTTCTGTGTACAGCAGGCAATGAGAAGTGTTCTTGAATCATGAATAATTGCTCTTTAACCCTTGTGTATTGCAGAGAAGAAGCTGTACAGGGAGTCGTACATCAGTGACACTTTGGATCAGGACATGGAGCAGCTGGAGAACCGATCTATGAGCAGCGGTGGGAGTACGAAGCACAACTGCCTCTGCAGGCGCTCCACGACCAGTCACAGCAGCTCTCTCACCTCGGGGATAGAGGCGGACACGAAAGCCAGGGACATCGGAGCGGAGGATAGTTTCTCCAGGTCGTCACTTCACCACAAGCTGAAGACTTGCAGCTCTATGACCAGCCACAGCAGCTCCCGCACCTCTGGGGCTGAGAGCGCAGACAAGGACAGGCTGGACGATGACTCCCAGGATGACGGTAAGTTTAGAGACGGTTATTTGTCACCCCATAGTCAGTTAGTAAAAGCTGGAGAATAAAGTGGTGTATAGTACTATATTAGTTAGTATTACCATGCCTGAAGGAGCTCTAGGTTAGGAGAGTTAGCATGAGAACAGGTACACTTTAATATGAAGTTGTTCCTCCCTTTGTTTCTAGAATATCCTATAACCTTTGGGGAAGGCTTCTGTTAGGTGTAGCAGCATTGTCCATGCAATTGACATGCATTCAACCATAGGTGAAGATAAGCCCTGATGTTGAGTGATGAGGCCTGGCTCCCAATTGGCATTCTCATTCCCCGTACAGACTTTCAGCTGGCTTGAGGTCGGGCTTTATGTTGGTGAATAATGTTCTCCCATTCCTATTTCAGCAAACCAATTCTGTATGGAGAATGATTTGTGCACAGGGGAGGATGAAGGTTCATACAGGGATGGTTTGCTCGATGAAAGTAGAACTTAAAATATTTGACAATTGCATAATTCGTTATGACCTTAACTTTTCTGTGCCAGCTGCCAATTTAGTCTAAAGTGAACCTGTGCCTTGTCCAATGTGTCCATGCAAGCTAACAAACATGCACTTTATTGGCAGCTGCACAGTCTCACCATTTGCTCCCCTACTACTATGTTTGCCTGCCAGGAGTGAAGAGAGGCAAGTAATTGCATCCTTGTCCCTTGTGACAGTGTTTGGTGCCTGAGCAGCCAACCACAAAGCACCAGCCCTGTCCCATAGGTGGTAGGGGAGTGAGTCACATGCTCCCCCCATATCTAGAGCCAGTCTTATCCTCAGTCTAGCACAGTTGACAGGCATCTCTCCTGTAATTAAATTGCTTTCTCTGATTTCACTGCACACTGTGAGCTTCTTGCAATGTGCATTAAATAGAATCAATCTCTTTTCTAGTTGGAAGACATCCAGCATTATCTAGCCATTTCCTCCCCTGGCATTAGTGTCCCTGACCCTCCTCCATTCATTGGATTTCGGTTCTTTCAATTATAAAGTGACAGCATCACATATGAATGTTACCTAGGGCGGTCTTCATGCAAATGCAATAACTCCTCAAGAGTGAACCCACTGCTTGCATCAGGAGTGAGGCTTGGTCGAAGAAGAGATCGATGTTTATTTATCTTCAGCTTTAAAAGTGACAGCAGATTTTATCCATTAATATTGCTGGACAGGAAGTCTATGTATCAGAAAATGTTGCCTCTTAATACACCACCTTTTAACTGTTTTGCTTTTTTTTAATGTTATTTATCTAATTATTAAATAAACTGAATTGAAACAAATATGCAGACGCCTATAAAATGTGAAATGTATGTATTCTGCTCGTTGTTGCCGGTTTTCTTCTGGTTCTCACATGTCGTTTTTAATCAGCAGAGATTGAGATGCTGGTAGATGATCCAAAGGACATTGACTTGGCCTTGAACGTCAGCCCTGAACTCTGCGTATACATAACGGAAGACATGCTGAGGTCACAACACAGCAACGGATATTCCGGTGAGCCAAGACCAAGCTTTGTTTTATCAATACAGAAGGAACATCCCATAGAAGTCTCTGTAATGTGCCTGTCCCCAGATTAGGGGGTTTGTTGCACAGTGTAGACGATTTTGGTCGTATCTTGGAGATATCCTGTGCAGAGACCCCAGAGTTTGGCCTTGTCTTGGCAGAAGGATTTCCTTATCCTAGCTAATTGCTAGTGTTGCTAGAGCAAAGCCCAACACCAGGGCTTCCTGCATATCACATAAACATGCCTGCTCAGCCAGTACGCGGTGCATGGTTATACACTCATTGTTTTAAATAGTAGTTAGATCAAGTGGCGGCCATCTTGGGCTTATGGATGCCTTACCTTAGGGTTGCATAAGATATAGCTTGAGCTTTTACATTGGTCCTCTTTCCTTTAACCACTGCCACAGCATGCCTCTTTTGAATGCTAATCTGCTAAAAAGTACATGTCTACCCAAAATAGATATTTTAGGTACAAATGGAGCCTGTTGGGCTGAGTCAGTCCCGGACTTCAAATTTGGCTTGGATACTTGCAACAGCGAGATCTCCCCGCTATAATTCCCACTTTTTTGTTCTAGTCTACCAGAGGGTTTTCGGTGTTCCCGCCAAATTTTTGGTATTGTAGCTCCTCCTGTTATGTTTCATTATTAAAAATAAAGTCTACAGCAGATATGGTGGAATGGATGAAACTTCTGTGCAGACCCTGGAAAGTAGTGCAGGGATGGTGGTAGCTCCTCATAGTTGTCACAGTGGGTGTAAAGACCCAGGAACTCAGCCCAGGGATGGTGGGAGCTCATTGTAATGGGCACAGTGGATGTGGGAGCTCCTCATAGTTGTCACAGTGGGTGCAAAGACCCGGGAACTCAGCCCAGGGATTTTGGGCGCTCCTCACAATGGGAGCAGATGTGCAGACCCCGGAACTCAGAGCAGAGATGGTGGGAGCGCCTCATAATGGGCACAGCAGATGTGCAGACCTAGGTACTCAGAGCAGAGATGGTGGGAGCTCCTCATAATGGGCACAGCAGATGTGCAGACCCAGGAACTCAGAGCAGAGATGGTGGGAGCTCCTCATAATGGTCACAACAGCTGTGGAGACTTGGGATTTCAGCTCAGTTATGGTGGAAGCTCCTCATAATGGGCACAGTGATTATGCAAACATGGGAACTCTGTACAGGAATCGCACCGCATCGCAAGCGCGTCCTCGAAAGATAGAAGAAACTGTCATGGGGTTTATCTCTCTATCATGTGCCAAAAAGCAAAATGTTGGGGATAGTTGGATGACCTTTAAGTCAACTCGTGTTGTGGCGACACACCAAAATGTCATTTTAACCGGATGAGGCAGTGGCTATCACAAAAAGGTGTTGGTTTCAGTCATGGGTCTGACAAACCTGGACCTCCACCTTCACTATATCAGGCCTAAGAATTGGATTATTGGTTTTTTTCCTCCCCCTGAAGCTGTATTTTGCTGATTTTCACCTCACCAAGCCAGACAGAGACAGGAGCTGTCTGAAAACCTGCACTTTTAATCTACTCAGCAAATAAAATGACTCACTTCTTCATTTTCATGGTTCAGTCACCACAGAGAAAACCTGTCTTTAGTTTTATATTGAGAGGGAAAAGAAAAAAAAGTATTCTCAGTGGAACATGAATATTTTATGCAGGCAAAATGTTCCAAGTTTGGAAAGCAATCAGAAATAGCTGAGTAAGGACAAAACGAGGACAAACAATTATATCATTGGAAATAGAAGCTTTGTAAATTCTTCCCTGAAAACTTACAAAGGCAACGTTATTCTTTATGGAACGATTCATCCATTGGTGGTGTTGACATCACAGGAAGTGATGCCATAGCTACTAGTAAGTTGGTGAGGGCACAGCTTGGAGTGACTACTGAGAGATGGCCAACAATAGAGGCATAATAGGCAGCTGCACTTGCAAATGCAAGAATTTAAAGGAAAATAGAGGAGAGTATTAGTATATATACTTTTAAGTATAAACATTTCTAAAGTGCTTTACAGTGTTGTAGTACACTGCCTGGCCAAAAAAGTCACCACCTGGATTTAGGGCAGTGTTATAATCTGGGGTTGCTTCAGTTGGTCAGGTCAAGGTTCAGCAACGTTATGTCCCAAAAAAGGTCAGCTGCCTACCTGAGTATACTGAATGATCCGGTTTTTCCAGCAATGGATTTTTTTCTTCCCTGATGTCACACTTGCATATTCCAAAATGACAATGCCAGGATTCATCGGGCTCAAATGGTGAAAGAGTGGTTCAGGGGGCATGAGACATTTTCACACATGGATTGGCCACCACAGAGTCCAGACCTTAACGCAATAGACAATCTTTGGGATGTTCTGGAGAAGAGTTTACCCAGTGGTCCAACTCTCCCATCATCACTACAAGATCTTGGTGAAAAATGAATGCAACTCTGGATGGAAATAAATGTGACATTGCATAAGCTTATGGAAACGATGCCATGGCGAATGTGTGCCGTAATCAAAGCTAAAGGCGGTCCTATGAAATATTGTGTGTGTGACTTTTTTGGCCAGGCAGGGGCATATATGTTCAGAACAAACTGAAGGTTTTTTTTAGATTCCTAAATAAGGAATATTTAGTGATTATTCCATAGTTATACGTACAGTCTGTGGGGTGGAGCTCCGGGCTCCCTTTTACATGTTTAGTGCAGAAGTACTGAGGGGGGAATTTATCAAAACTGGAGCTGACAAAATCTGGAGCAGTTGCCCATGGCAACCAATGGGCATCTATCTTTATTTTGTTCAGTTAAGAGAACTATGGGGTAAGTGTTTTTCCCCATAGTTCTCTTTAGGGTCACGGGAAGACATATACTAGCGTCCTCCCGTGACCCAAAGCTCATTATATATGAGGCTATTGCCTGCGCTATACTGTGAGCGCTGCAGCCGGGATGGATCCCAACAATACTGTCAAGATCCACCCAGCTGCGTGAGTGACAGCTGGCTCTGCCTATCTAATCACCACTCACTGCAGGGAGACAATGGAGAAGTGAGCGGATCAGTGCATGTTTCTGCTCACTTTCCGATCAACAGACCCGACCTGTGACAGCTTCTTTGTCGAAGGTCGGCTCTAACTATGAGAATGAGCGGAAATCACTCACCTCATAGTTCTCCTTTTAAGATTTGAAAATGAGAGATAGAATCTGGAGCAGGCTTTGCATGGCAACCAATAAGCGTCTGTCTGCTCGATAAATTCCCCCCTATGTATTTCTCTTTTTCTCCCGGTAGCTGAATGAAGAAGTAGGGGATTGAAGGGGAAGGTGAGTATGTACTGTTGTGGGACCATCATTATAGTCAACCTATGACTTTTCTCAGCATGGCCAAAGTACACGTTCTATTGAAGCCCCTCATCACTAGAATAATAATTGTGCAGATTTGAACTCATCACCAGCAGAGCGGGAATTATAACATTAAGTTGCCTCAATATGTTTGGTCATTTTTGCAATCAAAAGCTACTTAAACATGGTTGAGATTGCCAGAAAGTTCCCTTGTGCTGTACGATCAGCATATGTCATTGTAATATAACAGACCAGTAGACCATAGTCTGTTATTTACCTGCATGTTTGTTTTATTTTAGGTTTAATTGTTAAAGAAGTGAATTCATCAACTTCCAGCTCTTCAGAAACCGTAGTTAAGCTACGTGGTCAGAGCACCGACTCGTTACCGCAGGTAAACCATGAGGGCTAAGCAAACTGTAACCTTGAAGCTGAACTCCAGGAAGATACAAAATACACAAATCCATTATTATATCATTAAAGGTGTTTTTTTAAGGCAAGCAGTTGAAGTTCCTGAATTTGAATTGGTATCAACTTCTTGTAATCCTTTGTACAGCAAAGCTTAGACTGGGAGAGGCAGAAGCAGCACGAGAACAAGTCAGTTGTGCTGCAGTGCTGATGTGCTAACAAGGTATGTTCTGATAAGAGGAGAGAGCAGAGTGATAGAGAGATGAACTCATCAGTCCGCTGCTTCTCCTTTTACTGTCCAGTACCGGAGTTCAGCATTAACCTGAGTTCTCTTAGAGCAGGATATCCTAAAGTGTGCAAATCACCTTTTCCAAAAGGAGAAAAGGCTTCTGGGTAAATACCAGTTTTTAATGGTTGGCCTATAAATGAATGCCTCACAAACTGGATGATAAAAGTAAACGCATGACCTTTGAGGAACTGGCCTAGCTACCGGTGAACATTACTGCTCCAACCTACTGGGACTCAAGCAAAGTCAATGGGTAGGTGTTCTGGCTGAGCAAAGGCCATGTAAATGCCATACACATCCAGTGTGTGCTTCAGTCGCTGACTTTCCATGTAAAATGAAATTGCCCAGAAGTCCTTTCTCCTGTTAAAGTGAGCCATTTGCACACATTTACTGGGGAGCATTGTCTTGCATTGTAGTGAAGTCAGTCCTAAAGAGTAGGACTTTTGGAAGCAGACATCTGCCCTGAAGGTGGTACTAAGGCTCAGAATTATGTGCAGGACCACCTTCTGCAATAATATACTCAAACTGTACTTAGCAGCTAGTGGCAAGTGCTAGCAGGATCATGTGGGTTTAAGGTGAACCTGTTCTTTACTATGAGAGTTGGTATTGCCAAGGAGCTAGCACTTTGGTTATCTCTCCTGTCCTAAAACACTTCTCCTGGTTCCCCTGTCTGATTTCAATTTCACTCTTTTATGACCCCCAGCTTTATTACGAAGACCATAATCTCCACTCAACCATCAACCTTTTGTTCTATGAAAGTGCTCTGCTGGCTAGCAAGGATCACCTATTGGAAAGGACACTAGTGGGAGAGCAGGAGTAAGCACTACAAGGAGGAAGAGCTTATGCTCCATGTGTTAAGTCTTGCCGATTCATCTGCCTCTTGCTTGTTAGGCACTCACAATAGACAGGAGGGTGGTGGGAGGGAAGGACTTGGTGTTACAGATGCATAAGGCTTGTAGCCTCTAGTGGAGGGTTCCCTAACTGGGTGGTAGTAATTTCCAGGCAGAGCACAGAGGATGCTTTTCTGGAAAAAGAGAGGTAACCCCTTTTAAGTTTTTCGATAGTCCAAGTGGAAGAAAGGAACTTTTTAAAGTGCAGAACGGAATGCTGTCTTCATGGGCTTCAGCGATCATTTTCTCTGAGAGAGGAGCATTGGTAGTCTTGGAATTACATTTTGGGAAAGTGTTTTCGTCTGAGCTTTATCCAACAATGTGATGGGGTTATAGATGGCTGATTTGATCATAATACTGCATAGTGGAGTTTTTCTGTTAATACATAGATATTAGGGAAGCATCGATACTAGTATCGGTATTGATACCGAGTATTCGGGCGAGCACTCGTACTCCCCCCCTCACCACCCCACCCCCAAATGCTCCGATACCTTCCCAGATACTTCCGGTCAGAGGAAGATTTCCTATAACTGGCAGTGCAGTAGGGGAACATGGAGCCAGCTTCCTATGCGATCAGGAAGCTGAGTGGCGAGTAATGACCCGTCTCCAGCTTTCCAGCCAATCAGCATAGAGCCTGCTTCCCAGTCAGTCAGGAAGCTGGGAGGCGAGTCAATACTTGCCGCCCGGCTTCCTGATTGGCCGGGAAGCCAGCTCGATGCTGATTGGCTTGGAAGCCGGATTCCCAGCCAAGCACAATCAAGCCGGCCAGACAACATGGAGCCAGCTTCTCTGGCAATCGATTGTCCGGGAAGCTGGCTCCATGCCAGCGGAAGCACCGGTATTGGTACTCGGTATCGACGAGTACTGAAAGCAAAATATCGGCACTCTGTATTGAAAAAACAGTATCGGTGCATCATATGTTCATTAAAAGCAGTTGTTAATCTATGAAAACCCCAGATGATCCAAGAAAATGCAAATGTAGTCATTGAGTTTGAGAACTAATGATGTCTTTAAAATTTTACAGACGGCGTGCCGAAAACCAAAGACTTCCACTGATCGCCACAGCTTGAGTCTGGATGATATCCGTTTGTACCAGAAAGACTTCTTGCAGATCGCCAGCCTGTACCAAGAAACTGCCCAGAGCTATACTTTTGGATGCGGTCACAGCGCGGGTAACACAGGACTTTACTGCAAGGGCTGTCTTGCCCAACAGTGCGTCAACATCCATGAGCCCCTCGTGGCCAAGAAAGTCAGCAAGTACTTTTCTTTGGACCTTACTCATGATGATGTTCCGGAGTTTGTGGTATAAAGCTCAAGGATGACATACATGGATGAATTTTACCGGCTTGCATGACTGGTAATGCCAAAATAAGCAGACAGAAACTGCTTGTAGCAGACGGATTCCTACAGATTGCCAATCTGTATCAGGGGATGGCCCCCGGTCTATACATTTGGATGCAGGACCTTATTGCAATAGTTGGCATGACCAACCAACTGCACATCAACATCCAACAAGCCAATCGTGGTCAAGAAAGGAAGGGAGTACTAATGGTTGGACCTTGCCCATGGCGATACCCCAAAGTTTGACGTGTAAACGTCTTTATGATGGATATGGATACATTTAACAGACCTGGATGCCTTTGTGTGCAGAAATGTAGGAATTCTACAGATTGCTGGCCTGTGTCCCAGAGCCAAACACTTAGAGGTGGTCATGATGCAAGTGATATGGACTTTATCATGGCAGTTCCCTTGGCCTACAGTACATCAGCATCTATGACCCCCTTTGGGCCAGGAAAGCCAGAATAGCCTTTGACCCTTGTATATGGCTATACCCCAGAGTTTGTGGTGTAACCTTAAACTATCACTATGTATGGACATACTTCACAGGCCTGGATGCCTGTGTAAGCCAAAGTAACTAGAATGAATTTGCCTTTTTCATTAGCCCCTCATGGCAAGGAAAAACACTAACTTTCAGACCGTACCCACTCCAGTGTCAGTTACCGGCTTAATGCTGGACTCCGGGCAAACCGCTAAATTATATTGTTTTACCTGCCAAAGGATTTTTATTTATTTCCATCCAGTACAGAGATTTACACAGTTCTGCCACACAACACGGCACTGTCTGGCAGGCAAGAGACCTGATTTTTCTTTGCTGCAATTAAGTAACACTTACAGGTCTTGTCCCTCCCCCAGCCTGTGACTGGACAGCGAAAGGCGAAGGAGCAGACTGATAAGCTCATCTCCCTGTCACTTTGTCTCATCACATGCCTTGTTAGCACATGTAAAGTGCACCACAACTGATTGGCTCCTTGTGCTGGTTCTCCCACCTCCCTGTCTCCTCTCTGTTGTATAGAGAACGTCAAGGGGCTGATACCAGTTCAAACTAAAGCATCAAAAAGATAAATTAATGAATACAGAGCTGTATTTATTTTTGTCTTTTATATCTTCCTGGAGTCCAGCTTTAAGCTCAAGTCTGCAACATATGGAAGCATTTCACAGGCCTGGATGCCTGTGTAGACAACAATAAGAGAAAACCTTCCTCCAGGTTAGCAGCCTGTACGAGGAGGCCACCAAAAGCTGCAGCCACCGTCACTTTAATGCAATGGCTGTCTTTCCCAGCCAACTCTTAGTATCATCATGACCAAACAAGTCGGCTTTGATCCACAGGCCTGGATGCCTACGCATGCCAATGCCATGTCTTCTTACAAATGGATTCCACCAAGAAAGCCATTAGAGATCTTGTTCATAATGTAAAACTGTGTGTTCCAAAAGTGATGAGCTTCTGGCTATTTAGCTGTATTACAACAAATGGGTTACTTTTCATGTACGAAAAATAAGTATACATCAACAAGCAATAACTTCTCAAAATGCCAAAGAATGGGGTGGGGGGTTATTTTTTATAAAAATGGTCTAAAATATATATTTGTAGATTTAAAAAAAAAAAAAGCATGTCTAGAGAAGGGTTCCCTGTAAGTTGGAAGAAGTGGGAAAAATGACCTGAGTAGATGAAGTGGTCTTCTCTAGAAAGGTGACAGAAATATACATATTTATGTATACATATGCAGCAATAGAGACAATTATACAATGCTAGGGTCAAGTGAGTTGATTTAACAGTTTGTGGGGGACTTTCTCATGAAATAAGGGTTGCCCTAATCATCACATTGTATGACTCCTTGACTATCACTTTCTCCAGTCCCATAACGGAAGGTCCTGGGGCTGGGGAAGTAGCCTGCCGAAGCATGTGCATTGCACTTGGGATCCACTAATCATGGTTGCAATGCTTTGCAGGCTCTGATGCATGCATGCACCATGCATCTTTGCCTTCCTCATGGACTCCAATGCATTTAGCCTAAATAGTAAAATTGTGCCACACACCTTTGTGTCCTTTATATGTTCCTTGGGAGGATACACTAGAGCAGGGGTAGCCAAACTCCGTCCCTCCAGCTGTGGTGAAACTACAAATCCCATGATGCATCTCTCTCTTGGAGTCATGTCTGTGGCTGTGAGAATCTTGCAATGCCTCATGGGATTTGTAGTTCCACCACAGCTGAAGGGCCGGAGTTTGGCTACACCTGCACTAGAGGATGCATAGGTTTAAGTAGAGTTGCTCTTTAAGTGATGAAAATACACACAACATAGAATGCACCACCGATGTGCTTTATGCTTCCGTATTTAGGCTCTCAATGAACGAGTATGTATCATTCAGCCCCAATAGAGATGCACCCGAGGTATGTCCAAAAATGTGGTTATAGAGCACAAGATGTCAACTTTCTAAAATTAAATAGAGGACATCTTTTCGCACCAAAATTGTCATGCAAATAAAACGCGTCTATCTTTTTTCCATCATTCCAGACATTTTGGTTAAAAGCATTAACCTTTTAACCAGTAGATATAAAAATCTGCTTCATTCAGCTTTTAAACAAGTTTTGGTGGGCCAGATTTTATGTATTTGTATATAACTATGGGTCTTATAGACCTGTATATTTTATTAACCTATTTTATTCCTTAAAGTGACACTAAACTCAGGAGTTCAGTCTTAAAAATACATTCAAGTACCTTTTAAATATGAACAAAAATGTATCTTATTTGTGTATCACTCGGCTGTAGATCCCCCAATCATCTCTGAATTGGTGCTGACACTGTCCTTCCTTCTGGAGGGGGGCTACTTTTGTTCCCCATGGTCCCCGTGTGTGTTGTAAAGTAGCCACCGCTCCAAGCTCACTCCCAGGATGGACTACAATCTCACGTTTAGTTTTCTAATCTGTATTGAGCTTGTAGTCCATCACGGGAGTGAGCTTGGAGCGGAGACTACTTTACAACACACACAGGGACCATGGGGAACAAAAGTAGCCCCCCTCCAGAAGGAAGGACAGTGTCAGCGCCAACTCCGAGATGATTGGAGGATCTACAGCCGAGTGATACACAAATAAGATACATTATTGTTAATAGTTAAGGTACTTGAATGTATTTTTCAAATTGTATTTCTGAATTTAATGTCACTTTTAAAGGAGGTTTGTATACCAAGCAAAAAGCCTGTGTGATGAAAGAAAGAAACCATTCCACAACTCATAATCCACATACAAAGTCTGGACCAGTGAAGCCAAACCTACACCATACACCCAAACGTATGTGGCCACTCTTCCAAAGAATTCAGTTCAGGTGCACAAAGCCAGCTCCATAAAGACACAGCATATTAACAGAAATAAATATGTGAGACCGGGAACGGCGGTTCTCGTCAGAGCCTAATCACACGGGTGTTTTGATTAGTGACCGCGTCTCTTTAAGCACTTGCAGTGGAGGGAGTTAAAGTGACATTAAACCCTCAGATTTTTTAACATAAACCAATACTGTAATGTGTGCCTTACTGTAATCCATGGTTGTTTCCCTTCTCTTTGCTGCTCTTCATTTTAAATCCTCATGTCTTCTCATGCTTGGGGAGAACTTACCTTTGCAGCTCAGGGCCTCTTCCTGTAGTGCTGGCTCAGGTTACAAGCCCATACAAACTAATACACAGACACCATGTATCCATTCCAGAGACAAGGCAGTCTGCTGCAAAACAGAAGTTCTCCCCCAGCATGAGAAGAGATACAAATTTAAAAGGAAGAGCAGCAAAGAGAAGGGAAACTACCATGGATTACAGTAAGGCGCACATTACAGTATTGTTTTATGTTAAAAAATCTGAGGGTTTAATGTCACTTTAAGCTGACAATTTTGTGGCCTGTGCATTTTACTTTAACAGAATTATTTATACATATAATATGTAGTGTCCTCCTATATGAAATACTAATACCTGCCTCTGCCAGAAGATGTTTGGAAGTGCAAACGCTTGTTACTTTTGTGTTTTAGTTAAACCATACCAGAGCAAAACCACTTGTGTCCATGCGCCCAAAGTGTCACATTTCCCTGCATTTCTTATGCAACTTTGTCATGTCAGTTGAATATTATAGGATACCCCCTCAACTGCCACAATGCAATTTGATAGAAGTCAGAGGTCTCTTGTGTGTGCTAAAAGACGAAGTATTTAGGCTAGGAAGAAACCTGAATCACCAGCACTCAGTAATATCGTTCCACTAACAAATGTCATTTTTTTCAGGCAAATCGTCACAATGCAAAGAGCCAACGTTTCGGGGCCGCACCGGGTCCCTTCATCAGGGCAAAAATGTGCCACATACTGAGTGCTGGTGATTGCTGTTTGTTTGCACGGCGCCATCTGTGATCATCACTGCGAGCACCATTACTACACAGGCCGGGAGTGCAGAAGGACTTTCCACTTGTACGTATTAGGCTAGGTTCATACCTGCACGATTGCCGCGCGGATTACTGTGCGGTTAGGAGTCGCCAAGGTGTGAACCGATCACGTTGTAGGTGCCATTATTTTCTAATGGCACCTCAGTGGGGCGGGACGGATCCTGCGTTTTCCCGCCGCAATTCCGCCCGTGCTTCCAAACACGATTGCCGCGCGGACCCATTGATTCCAATGGGGTGACAGCCGTGCATCTCAAGAAAAGGTACTTGTACCCTTTTTCTGCGATTGCCGCGCGGATGTCACCCCATTGAAGTCAATGGGTCCGCGCAGCAATGGCTGTCTGCATTGTGCAGGACCGCACAACACCCAGGACGCGCGTCCCGGGTTGTCGTGTAGTGCAGGTGTGAACCTAGTCTTACAGTGCTGTTAGATGCATCAAAAAACACTTCAGTAGTTGCACTGATGAGGGAGCTGAGGGAAATAATCACATCTTAGTAACAGGGATGAGCTTGGGTTTAAACTGAACCCGGTCCGAACCTGAGCAATTCCAGTAGGGTTGCCACCTTTTCTTGAAGCAAAACCCGAACACCTAGCAACGCGCTGACATTTTTTGGGGGAGAATGAGTAGTGGCTTATTTATATGTAAATTGAGCCACCCATTCATATGTAAATATCACAGTTGAGACTATTTCCAGTGGGAGGCCAGTATCCCCTATCTTAATTTTGGTTGCCCCTGTCTGTATGACATCTTGTGTCCGGGTTTCTGCTGCAATGAAACCCGGACACAGCATTCAAAACCCGGACTGTCCGGGTGAATCCTGGTCAGGTGGCAACCCTAAATTCCAGACCTGGAAGGAATCGGCTGCTGGTTGGGAGTTCCCCGCCCACAGATTGACATAAGCAAAGGGGCAGGAAACGTCTCTGAA